TATGTACCTAATTTAGTTGTTGAATAGTTACTAAAAAGAATAGTATTCAAAATAACTTGAAACATCGCAGTAATTTTAGCCTGTTATTTATTTGGCATACTTCTCATGTTAAAAATAGCTAAGATTATTTCACTTCAACCCTGCCCTGACCCATATCAAATGGAACTTATGAATTGCTTAAGATACCGGTATCTATTTTGCTGGTGCATAGGCATAGGTTAATAATTGAGTAAACTTTTACAAAAAAAGAAATCAATTTTAATGTACCAGTACTGAATAAATGTTACAAATTATTATTTAATAGGTCATTAGACATTCTCAAGCAAAGTGAACTAATAAAGTAAACACAATTAACTCCTACACAAGTTCCTACACTTTATTCAGAAACAAATGAGTGTATTTACGAAATCTACTATACTATTTTGCACATTGAATTGTAACATCATTTATACTATTCATACTACTAACCAATGTGCATGAAATAGAGCTTTTGATTTGATTTGATTCAATGGTTTTCTATGGAAAGTGTGTTGTTTGTTTACTATAAATAGTTACATATAAATACAGTATTTTTGACACTATCCAAATATTAAAATAAACAGTTAAAATTAATACTTTTTATGCAATAAGTTTAAGAAATTAAGGTTATCATACAAGAAGGAGTTAGTTAATAATAGATTTAGTTTCAACATGTTTGTTGCAAGCCTGACCCTATCCTAGTTCCTGTAAATATCAGCATTATCAGTTACGTGCTAAACATAAGGTCAGCTGTTTTATAAACAATAGATAAGCAAAGTCAGCTCAGCATTTCATGGTGACTCACTGATGCAAACACCAAGAATTTACAACAGCAGTTAACGTTACTTGTTTGTCAGCATATCTGGAAATTGAGTTTAATAAAAATCAATTTTTTTGTTTCTAAATGTAGGAGTTTTACTAGTAAAATATCCCCCCCAAGAAGGGTTTAGGGGATATGAAATAAAAAGAACAAAAGAACGTGTTATGTTTAGGTTTCTAAAAGTCAGAACTCTTCTAAAATATTCCTGATATCCTTATACAACTTTTGAATTTATCAAGTCAATATATTTGTGTTGGAAATATCGTCTAAAATAACAAGTCGTCTTGTGGATCAAAAATTAAGTTAATTTAATAGTAAAACTGATAGAATGAAAAACTTAGATTTTTTGTATACATCTTTCTTCATCAAAATAAAACAAACAACTAAACTCTGTTGCCAAGGAAACATCATATGATCTTTTCTAACATAACTATTATGGACATTATAATATGAATAAATTACATCTTTAACACACCCCCGTAATGTCCATAATACATTTTAGAAAAATAAGTTTTAGTTAAGAGGTCACCATCCCAATGAAAGTTTTCATTTTAACATGTTTCAATGATGATAAGCCCTTTGTTAAAATATCAGCGGTTTGTTCTTCTGTTGGAATGTATCTGACAGTGATCTGTTTCCAAGAGACCAACTGTCGAACATAATGGTATCTCGTCTCAATATGTTTAGAGCGATCGTGGAACATTGGATTGTTCATAAGTTTAATCACTCTTTGATTGTCCACATGTAGTATAGGAATAGACTTTTCTTCAATTGCGCCAATCTCTTTCACAAGACGAAGGGATTTACAGGTCTCGCTAGCGGCAACATATTCTGTTTCCATTGAAGATTGGGAAACACACCGTTGAAGCTTACTCTTCCAAATAGTCTCATCAAGATTGCCATTCAAAAATGCTGTTTTAACATCAAACTGTTTGATAGCAAGATTGTACTGAACTGAATAGCCTAACATAGTTCGCATCGTCTTAAACCGAGCTACAGGGCTGAAAGTGTCACCATAATCAATACCAGGACGCTGAGTAAATCCTTTTGCGACCAAACGCGCCTTGTAACGAATGATCTCGTTCTCAGAATTTGTTTTCAGTGCAAATACCCAGCGATTATCGATGACTTTTCTTCCTTTTGGTTGATCAACCAAATCATAAGTTTTATTTTTTATTAATGAATTTGAATTTATTTCTTCATCCATAGCGGATTTCCAATCGACGACATGCTCAGATCTAATTGCTTCATCATAATTTTCCGGTACTTCGTTTGTAAGTATTGCAGAAGCTAAAAGCTCATTTTTATCTCTGTCACTGACACACATGACAGAATAATCTCTATATCTCATAGGTATTTTTATTCCATCACGTTTTCTCAGGTTATAAGTCTCCTCTTGTAATATATCACCTGGAATAGCGTTATCATCACTAGGACACAACATGTCTTGCTCATCAGTATCATTGGTTCCTGGATACACAATATCTTGCTCTTCTTCATGGAATATATTGTCCTGATTACTGTCAACAAGCTGATTTCTGGTCTCATCATTTAGAATTGATTGCCTACTGTCAAGGGGATCATGCTCGATATCATTGCTACTCTCTTCAATGTTAAAGTAGTGTTTATCATCGTTATTGTTTATTTTCTTCAAAATAAAACATGATTCTTTTGGTGGAATGACCTTAACAACCATATTATACAATTGATTAGCTGTATTAAATATAGCCAAAGCAATGATTGTTCCATTTTGAGAAAACACCCATGACTTACCATTGTTTTTCACAGTCTGGTGAATGCCTTTTTCACCTGCTTTCCTCACAGAGAATAAGTTACAAGCAACATCAGGACAGTACCAAACATCATCGAAATACCTGTAAGTCCACTGTTTACCATCAAAAACCATAACGTCTATTTTTGCTGACCCCAAGGCCTGAATATGAACACCTTGGCGAGCACTGTCCATCTTTTTAGGAGTATCAAATGGTTTGTAAGTGGCGAACCAGTCCCTGCGGTTTGTCACATGGTGAGAAGCACCACTGTCAACAAGCCAGTTGTCACATTCACTGAAAAATGACTTATCAATTAGGCCTACCTCTAGATTTGATCGAGTCATCATTGCAGCATTTTGTATCTCACGGGTACATTCATTTGATTTATGTCCTTTTGTGTTTTCCAGATGACCATTCATTCCAAGGGTAGGTTCCCAAGAAATGTTATGGAACTTATTTCTCAATATGTCAATATTTTCAGTTGACTTGACATCATAAATGTGGACAAGTTTCTCCCACATCTCTTTTCCTGTAGAGCAATTGCTTACTCTAAGTAGAGGATTCGTCTCAAGGGATAAAACAATATATTTTCTGGCTTTTGCATCATTTTTTGACCAATTTACCAATTTTTCGTCATAATTTGGTGTACCTGCTGTTGGTTTTCCGAATTCTCCACTAACAATTCCATAAACTCCTTCACATTCTAAGATTACCTTCATGACTATTTTCCATGTTGTGAAATTCTCAGTCCCTCTTAATTTTTCAATCTGTTTTTCATTACTCATCATTCACTATTCTATTAACTTCTTCTCAATTAATTTAACCACTCTGTTCTGCTACCATGTTGGAAATATCGTCTAAAATAACAAGTCGTCTTGTGGATCAAAAATTAAGTTAATTTAATAGTAAAACTGATAGAATGAAAAACTTAGATTTTTTTGTATACATCTTTCTTCATCAAAATATAACAAACAACTAAACTCTGTTGCCAAGGAAACATCATATGTTCTTTTCTAACATAACTATTATGGACATTATAATATGAATAAATTACATCTTTAACAATTTGAAACTATGGTGAAAAGGAAACACATTTTGTAACTACAAATGATAAAGTAGGGCTGTTTCAAACAAATGGAATACAAGTTTATAGTCAATAGTTGTACTATTTATAAGCTAGTACAATTATTAGCTACTAATAATAAACTATTTGTGGTTCCTTATTTGTGGTTATTGTTTTAAGTCCGGTTTCCCTTTTTTGTTTCATACTTTTACAATGACCTACACATTAACTTACATTAATTACACAGCTTTATTTACCAAATAACATATTTGGTAAACTGTTTGCTTCTCAATTCAACAATTCATTATTAACAAATTACTTACAACACAAAGTTGTTAAATGTGTGTGACGTAAAGATTTGATAATCAACTTTATCATTGTGTATTCTGTTATCAATGTTTACATAATCGTTTGTTAGTTCAGAATTGTTCTTCATTAGAACAAAGTAGGGCCTAAACCAAAATGGGGATATTTTAAAATTATTTTTTTAAACGCTGTAGACCAATATTCAAGTATTGTTTGCCATTATGAAATATGGTAGTGCTATAGACAAATACCCCCGCAGCAGCAAACCTGTAGCGAATTGCCATTTGCCTGTTTAGTTTTCAATTAAATCTATTTAAATAACATTAAGTTTAACAAGTACCTTGGTATGCTGCTACAGGGAGGGTAATAAGTGTGTTTTTAGTAAAATATCAATAGCTTTATATAAAAAAAAAAATAATTTGCCAAGTTTGAAAAAGTATATACCTAAACAAGCAAACTACAGTAGACTCCCTCTTATCTGGACCTTTTAACCGGACATCGGTTTAACCAGACTACACTCGGCGGAAATGACATCTCTTCAACCAGAAAATTTTTATCAGCACATTAGTTTAACCAAACTAGATCGGCAGGAAGTGGGCGGTACTGATACGACTGTTCTCGTGGGAAAGATTTGAGACCAGTGATCACGTGTTTAAATACAATACCCTCCTAAATTTAAGTCCAAACTATCACAGTAAACGGTCCGTTTTAACGAGTTTTTGGGGACATCCGGACTGACCTCGGTCCCGAGGAGTCATTAATTTTCTTTTCTTTCTTAGTTTATAATAATGATATAACAATAAAGTGCTTCGGAGATAGTTGATGTCACGTAAAAAATTTGATGGCTTACAGCAAATCTTGGTATGAGTTTGACTCGGTTAAGATGATGGTGTTTTCAATAGAAATGAGGAACTTAAATAAGCTGTTAGTGGCTGGAAAACTGTCTATTTAAATTCTAAAAGCGGCAGCAACGTCAACATGGTGATGGAATGTCAAAGACAAATCTAATGTAATTTTTCAGGGTTGAGAGCTACTCATGCAAGATGGCTGGGAATGAGAAGCAGATGTACAAGAAGTTCAACTCGGAACAGGGTATGAACCCAAACGATCTACAAGCCTTGAGTCCTCCACAGACTGGTGTATCTCCTGGCCAAGGGCTTTACAGGTAAACCACTCGTGTATGTTGTCAACTGATTGTGTATAGTAAAACCACATGTTTGGTTTCTAAATATACTTTTGGAAGACGATGAAAGTACAAAAAAACTTGCAGATATATAATTTGTTTATTTGGTAAATAGCACGTCTTCAGAGAGTAAATAAAAATTACAAAAAGCGAATCTTTTACGCATTTATTAACCCTGCATTAGGACAAAATACCATTTTTGTACTATGGTATGTAACACTTCTAGATGCAAATGATTATTCACCAAAAACTTTGAGTCATTCATATCTAAGTTCTGGTATATTAAGTATTCTCAGGAATGAAGCCAAAAGAATGTCTTACAAGAAGTAGTTATTCAAGACGTAACAAACACTTTTGTCACAGTCGCAGTATCTCTGGTGACGAGGAAGGACCTCTATGCGACACTATCAGTCGCAAGACGCTCTTCTACCTCATTGCGACGCTCAACGCGACGTTTCAACCAGATTACGACTTCTCAGATGCCAAGAGCCACGAGTTCAGCAAGGAACCTAGTTTACAGGTTGGTTTTGCACGAGTTTTTTATAGGTTCGTATCGTAAATCGTTGAATGAGTTTTTAGATCTGAGCTGAAAGAATATTTTGCTAACGAAATAGTTTTCTTATGTCAGTATAGCGCACACTAGGTTGCAGAAAATATTCTGTGTGTAACTGGATGTTGGAAAAACGAAGGAAACTTAAGTTATTTTGTTACTAACACTTGTTTGTTAGTTTACTATTATTTATGTTATGTAATTACTGTAGTACAAGTGCTGAATTGTTAGGCTACTACTTTGCTAGTACAGAAGGAATCAAAAGGTTGCCGGTTCGATCCTGAGTGATGTAGCTTTTTGGTGGTTTGAAAATGTAATCAGCTGTTCGTAGGTCTTAGTCGGTTACAAATACAGCTTGTCTCGCACTCTAAACTCACATTGCATTCATATTATTACTTTGCCTAAAATACGCACACAAGTGTTTATCAGTATTAAATGTTGAATGTAATTTTATTTTTATATAATATGTTTGCTGTTACTTGTCCTGTATTTAATTTAATTTATGTTGGTAACAGCTGATCATGTGTAAATAGTTAGGATTGTTTTTATTGTAATGAGAATTGTTGAATAAGTTATGTTTGAGTAAAAATGTTGTGTGTGTGTACTTCAGTAAAATAAAAGATAATTATTGTAACAGTAAAACCTTAGGTGTTAGTAATTTACTTTCACTTAAGTCAACAGGTTATGGGCCCAGAAAAATTCATTAATTCAACCATAACTGTAAAAACCAGAAGTAATCTAGTAAAACCCCAAGAGTTAAAGTGTAGTGAAGGTGAGTGAAAAAGTAAAAGTAAGACTAACAATGGCATCAGTAAAAGAAGATGATTTCGTAGAAAAACTCAAAGGAGTTGAAACTTTTCCATTGTGGAAATTTCAGATTAAAATAATATTTCAATCCAGTGATTTGATGAGTATTGTTGATGGTTCTGAGAAACTTGAAGATATGGGCGATGGAAAGAAGAAGGCTGATTGGATTAAAAGAGATGCCAAGGCTCAGAAGTGTATAGTTAGTTCTATTGAGAAGGGACCGATGTTACATATCATTAACTGTGAAAACTCAAGAGAAATGTTTTTGAAGCTGTGTTATATTTATGAAAGAGACTCAGAGCAGCAGAAGTACTCGTTATTACAAGAATTCTTTAACCTCAGGTATGAGCCTAATTCTGATATAAGTTCTCACATAAGTAGAATTGAAAACATAGCACACAGACTAAAAACTTTAAAACAAGATATTGATGAAAAAATGATAATATCAAAAATTCTTGTCAGTCTGCCAGATAGATTTAAGTATTTTGTAACTGCCTGGGAATCAATGCCCAATGAAGAAAAGACATTGGCAAATCTAACAGCGAGACTGTTAGCAGAAGAGTCAAGAAGTGAGTTAAAGGAGGTAAGCCTAGAGAAAAATCTTGCATTCCAAGTTGTTTGTCACAACTGTAAAATTCCAGGCCATAAAGCAAAGTACTGCAAGAAGCCTACATACAATAGGGCTAACTCTGATAATGAAAGGCGATGTTTTAAATGCAATGCTGTTGGTCATCTAGCAAACACCTGTGGAAATGTAAAAAAATTTGTTAACAAGTTTGAAAAAAGAAATGTAAAGCCAAATTTATTTTGTAATATATGTAAAAAGTCAAATCATAATGAAAAAAATTGTTACTTTAGAAAAAGCCAGAACCTAAATGTCGCTAGTAAAACTGTGTCATTTTTGTCGTATGATGATGGACAAAATGTTCGGGGTAATAGTGGGACTGTAAACTTTGTATCTGAATGGGTTGTTGATTCAGGCACATCTTCACATATAAAAAATTGTGCAGATTTGTTAAGTAATAAACAAAATATTTCTTCTGAAATATATGTTGCTAAGAAAAATCAAACCATGTTAGCTTCAACGAGTAGAACTGTAAAATTCAATGAATGTATCCTATATGTTCCTGAACTCAGTGAAAACTTGTTGTCTGTTTCTGCAATAACTAATAATGGTGGTGAGGTTACTTTCTCTGAAAATACAACAGAGAATGACCAGAAAGGAGACAAAAATGAAAATGATAAGAAAGAAGACAAAAATGAAAATGACCAGAAAGAAGACGAAAATGAAAATGAAGATATTGAGAGTGCAGATAATCTAAGTGAGATAAGTAATAATGAAGTAGAGTTTGAGTTGGTTTCAGACAAAAATGAAATCAATGAAGAACAGCCAAGTTTAAGTAATACTGATACTACACAAAGCATCAAACTAAGAAGAAAAACTAAACTACCTGAAAGATATAAAGAGTTTGTGTTGTTAACATATGAAGAAGCAATCAAAGGACCAGATAAAAAAAATTGGCTACAAGCAATTGAGGATGAGAAAAGCTCCCTTATTGAGAATGAAACGTGGGAAGTGGTTGACAAAAAGCAAGCACTAAACAAGAAGATCCTAAGTAACAAGTGGGTATTAACAAGAAAGGATAACGGAAAATACAAAGCGAGACTAGTTGTTAGAGGTTTTGCCCAAGAACAAGGTATAGACTATGAAGAAACCTACAGCCCAGTTGTAAGTAATTCAACTTTACGTTTGTTAATTTCATTAGCTGCCAAACAAAATCTCAAACTAATGCAATTTGATGTTAAAACTGCTTTTCTCTATGGAAATTTAGATGAAGAAATTTATATGTGTGTACCTGAAGGGTTTGATCATAAAGATAAAGTTTTGAAATTAAGAAAGACTTTATATGGACTTAAACAAGCTCCATTTAAATGGAACCAGTTGTTTACAAACTGCTTGCTAAAATATGGCTTAAAACAAACTCAGTCTGACCGTTGTGTTTTTACAAATGGCAGTATTCATCTTGCTATATTTGTTGATGATGGAATTCTTGCTGGTTCAGATGAAAGAGAGATGAAGAAACTTTTGAACGAGCTGTCTAGAGATTTTAAAATAAAAACAGACGAAAACCCATCAAACTTTCTTGGAATGGAAATTTTATATTCAAGGGAAGGGATATTGTTAACACAAAAGAACTATTCAAACAGTATTCTCGAAAAATATGGAATGATAGATTGTAAACCTGTAGACACTCCCATTTGTCCAGTGAAAACGAGCAAACCTGATGAAGAAGTAAGCTGCCTGACAAAAGATTATTCTTACAGAGAAGTTGTAGGAAGTTTGCTGTACTTATCCAATAAAACCAGACCTGATCTTACACTTGCTGTGGGATTAGAAAGTAGATGTGTTGAGAATCCAAGCAATGAAGATGTTGTAAATGTCAAACGAACCTTAAGATATATTGAAGGTACTCAAGACGCAGGAATATTATTTTCAGCATCAGGAGAAAATTGCCTAAATGTATATTGTGACGCAGACTATGCAAATTGCAAGCATACAAGAAGAAGTACTACTGGATTTGTCATAATGTATGGAGAAGACCCAATAAGCTGGTGTACAAGAAGACAACCGATTGTAGCTTTGTCCAGCACTGAAGCAGAATACATTGCAGCGGCGGAATGTGTCAAAGAAGTGTTATATTTAAAAACTTTCTTGCAAGAGTTGAGTGGAACTAATGTTGAAACAAACCTAAACATGGACAATCAAAGTGCTATTAAGCTTTGTAAAAATGGAATTTTTAATAAGCGAAGCAAACACATTGATGTTCGCTACCATTTTTTGACTGAAAATGTAAGGCAAGGTAAAATAAACATTTCTTTTGTTTCTACATCCGAGAATGTTGCGGATATGTTTACAAAACCCTTGAACAATGTCAAGTTTCATCAATTTAGCAAAGCTTTGATCAACTATCCAAAATCTTGAACAGAAGACGACAATCGAGATATTTATTTTTTGTTTCTTATATAAAATTAAAATTAAGGGAAGGTGTTGAATGTAATTTTATTTTTATATAATATGTTTGCTGTTACTTGTCCTGTATTTAATTTAATTTATGTTGGTAACAGCTGATCATGTGTAAATAGTTAGGATTGTTTTTATTGTAATGAGAATTGTTGAATAAGTTATGTTTGAGTAAAAATGTTGTGTGTTTGTACTTCAGTAAAATAAAAGATAATTATTGTAACAGTAAAACCTTAGGTGTTAGTAATTTACTTTCACTTAAGTCAACATTAAAGAATTAAATAATTTTTCCTACAGTCACCCGACAAAGTTGGCTTCCTTGTACTGTTTATAGTACAGAAAGCTGCTAATTGCTGCATATTTATACTTTGCCGTACGGTTTATACTTTGCCGTACGGTTTATACTTTGCCGCACATCAGGATTCCAACGAAACAACACAAAATAGCGTGGTTCCATTATGCACGTAATCCGTGTACGCTTGGAAATAGGTTGGCAACACTTAAAGATAATTATACTATGAGCAGCTGATTGACTATTATAACTACGATTTAACCTGTCATTTCGTGTTTATAGTTTCGGTATTTCTGAACTTTCTGGACTTTTCTTTTAAACGTTTTTAAAACATTCCTATGATCTTAATAAACAAGAAAATACCTTTAAAGCATTTTTTTAGGCGCGGAAACCACTTCAAATTACAAAAACATACGGAACTATATTCTCAAAACGCGGAGCACATCTTGCCGAGGAAAAATAGCGGAGTGATATGGACCGCGGGTACTACTTTCTCTAGGGCACCATTTGTGTTGCCAGCTGAACCTAAAAACGTGTTGCATAGTGTTTGAAAGACTAATTATTTATATGCTTTATAGTGACTGTAGGAAAAATATAATGTGTAACACGAGTGAAAAAGGCCTTTGCTGCACTCGAGATCATTCCACACTCGCCTGCGGCTCGTGCGTAAACATTGCTCTCGTGTGCAGGAAAGTGCCACTTTCACCACTAGTTACACAAATAACTATTGTATTTTGTTTAGAAGTTAACCGTAAACAAAGGACCATTAGGTAACAATTTTTCCTTAAAAAAGGACCATTTCCTTTTTGTTTATAGCTTTTTTTAGGGTTCTTAAAATGTTATGTAATTTTATAAACCATTACCAAGGGTTTTGGTGTAACTTTTTTGCAAATACATAAAAAGTCTTTAGCTCATAATTTTTAAACGCACAACTAGCCAATAAAAATACAAACTTTAAGATTGTAAATTTAGAATGGATAAAAACAAAGTCATTAACCATTGGTTGAAACATTCATTTGTTGAAGGCCTTGATAGTGATAATTAGCAGGAAACCCTGTGATACTGGCTTTATCACTTACCAGTCTTTATTTACTAAGTTTTGTTTTTATTTACTTCCTCGTTTAATTATCTCGTTGATTCACCCAGAATATGGGTACAAAATAGAGTAAGGTAATTCATAATAATTACTGTAAAACAGTTGCACACCCACCATTTTTTATAGGGGGAAAATTGTACCACTTATTTTTTTCTTTGGGTTTGTCATGTGGTTTTATAAAACTTTTTTGGTTTAGTTCAATCAGCTGTAGGCCTATAGCAGAAAACAAAACAGTATTGAAATGTAAACAAACAATTATAAACTAGAACTACAACGGGTTATTAACGTTCATAATATTATCAAAGAACTTATTTTTCTAGGAATTTCTCATCAGTTTCTTTCAGTCATGTTGCAGTTGATAGGTGCCATTCTTACTGTTTTCTCAAAAGTTTGTGTTCCTTATGAACAAGATAACTATACATGATACATAACTATCTCTATCCATCCATGGTATGATATACGTATACAGACATAAACAAAGTAAATATAAATTATGAATGTTTACATTTTGTTTTATCTTTTTGTTGACATTGAATCCAACTAATATTTACTTCTAAAATTTCCACTTTGAAACTTTGGGCATCCACAGGGCAGTTGGCCAGGTTCATCTACCTTTGTGTCCAATTTGGTCCTATCTAAGTAGCTTTTATGTTTAGAACAAACACACAGACAGACAGACTTACAGGAACCACCTCTTTACTACATAATGGTTGGATATGTCGTAAATGTTGAAGCTGAAAGCTTGTTATGTTTGAACATTATTACAGTACAAATGAAATACCTGTCAGTTTCTGTATTTTAAATGTTTAAACAGAATGTTGGATATAGGCAACCTTTTATTGCCAGCTGTTCCTTGTCACATATCAACTGAAGGTTGGCCTTGACTGTTTGACCTTGGAATCGTAATCAGTTATTCTAGTTAGTTAATTTTATCCTTATTCTAATTCAAGCATACTCCTGTTTCTTTTGTTTTCTTTAAAAAAAACCCATACATTACTTGTTATTATCTGTTTCTGTCTGTATTTTTCTAAGCCAATTGATAAATTCCCCCTAAATTAATCATTCCTATGAAACTTTATATATTTAAAAAATTTTAATAGTTCTTAATTATGTTGATGGTAGGCTATGTGCACAAACTTGCTATAATGCTATATTTTTTCTAATTCTTAAAAAAATTTTTTTTAGAAAATATTATAAATTTTATTTTTTACTATTACAAAACACCACAGTCAAGAAAACCTTTGGACTAAGTGATTTTCAGTTGATATGGAATGTAGAGAATTTTATTTTCCATAAAGTTTACAAACAAATTATAATAAACCTAGTCAATAAGTGACTATTAAATAAATAGTAAACTTCTTCTGATAAGGAAAATTAATAAACTCAAATTGATAAAAAACAAAAAAAAAGAAGAGGGTATCTAAAAATAGTTGCGTAATAATTTGTCTGGATGTGGGCATAATCAATAGGATATTTCAGTTGTCTGAGTTGATGCGGATCATTCATATAACCAGAATAAACTTATAAATTAAATAATAAACTAATTTGCCAAATCTTAATACTGCAAAAATGTTTTAATGAACTACCAGACTTTTTAAAGTCAACAAATTGAAATGCAGAGGTTATAAAACCTAACACACATTATTTGTATGGTACAAATATTGAAAGTTAAATTTAAGGTGCAGCAGTTTAGTCAATACTCAAATATAGACTGACCTTCTATCCAGCTGACGTTTATAAATAGCAGCTACCTCTGCAGAGGCCATGCAACAAAAACACAACTCCCCCCCTGTTCTATTTATTATAAAATCTTGAATAGTTTTTTGAAATATTTTGGAGGCTTTTATGATATTCATGATATTTTATATGTAACTATACTTTGTTCAAAATATTTAGGCAGTTTTAGGGGAAGAAATTGTGGAGCTTAACCTCTACAATAGTTTAAATGTCCTGCCAAGAAGGCAAACATGTAAATCGAGTCAAGCCATTGTCAAACAGAAGCTGACCAAGTGCGAAGATTTTGGCCTATCCATAACCTTAAAAAAATGTCTTTGGGCGACACCCTATTGACAAATTTTATAGGAGATTAATAAAGAAAATATTGATGATGATCTCCATGGCAACAGAAAATCTACCCTTTCATTGTTACAAGACATTCCATCGCCATGCTAAAGTTGTTGCCAGTTTTCTTTTATCAAAAACATTGTAGTTTATGTAAACCTCCGACAGATTGTGCGGATGTAACTAACTGAAATCTGTTGAATACTCAAACATGTTTAGCTTGTTGAGCTGATGTTTAGCTGTTATTGTTAACTATAGTAACTGATGTGTCAATACTGAATCTAAAATCTCAAAACCATCAACAAGTTTCGATTTTGAGATTCGATCAGCGAGTTTTGAGATTCAAAAGTTTCAATATTGCAGATTAAGTTTACGGCATTTTTGTTTTTAAACTGCTGACATTGTTTGGTGTCACTAATAATTTTATTTACACGCCTGCTAGCAGAAATGGAACAAACAGATCATCATTAGCACTAATGAAACAAGCAAATTATATTCTGGAATACAAAAAGTGGGCCTGTCTTAAATACTAACTCTGAAACAATGTAAAATAAAGTTTCATATAGATATTTATCAAACATAAATAAAAATGTACCACTAAACGTTCTAAATAATCTAAAATTTATGTTTATGTTAGTGTCGGGAGTTATAGTATTTTAGTGATTGTTTTTCATCAAAGATCATGATTTTTTGTGTCTGAAGCTTAACAGTAACATGTTTGTGCTATTTTGTCAAGGTCAGGCCAGTTTTGCTTGCATGATAAACTATTTATTACGAGTTGTTGGCGTCCTACATACGGGAATCAAGTCGATGATTAAAACTGCTGAATATAATCCAGAACAGCTAGTTTACTTGCATAAAGAAAAGTTCTGGCAGTTTTAATGGGAAAAATCATCTTGAAAACAAATACCACCTATTTCTTTCATCTAAATATTATAGGCCTATATGCATTTTAAATCTGATAATTTTACAATAAAAAAATCTTTAAGTTTTTAGTACACTGGTTTTTAGTACAGTAGGTGGATCTTTATACCACCTTCCATTGCATACTATCACTTACCGTACCTTATCTTATCTTTGTGGCCACTGAAACCTTAAGAGGATTCTGGCCTCCCATTCTCTTCCATCCCCTGCCTCTTCTAATGTAGATTCCAGTCTGGAGATGTCTTTCATTACTTGGTCTTTCCACTTCATTTTTGGTCTTCCAAGTGGTTGTATATCTTGTGGTACTCCTTGGAATACACTTTTAAACGTTGATGTATCTTCTCTCCACTACGCACAGCCTGCCCAGTGCCCATCCGAGCCTTTTACTTTTGGAAAGCTTTGGTTTTGACACATCTCTCATAGCACTCTGTTCTTTCGTATCTCAACCACTTGTTATCTTGTACTGGTCTGTATCCCTGCACTATATTCTCAAACCCAGCAATAAGGTTTTTCGGTTCTTTGGTCAGTTCCCAAGTTAACAAAAGCTAGCATTTCATTCATTCAACACTCATGGTTCACTCATTTTCACCTTAAAATACACACCCTGATGTGTCGGAATCATAAAAATCACATGTATGAGGTAATATAACTTTCTGATTTGCAATGTTGGTTGCAGTGGGTGATGAACTCAGTGGACAGCAACCTGAGCGCCACGGCCGGCGAGCATTACCGCAAGATGAGGGCTCATCTGTGGGCCGCTATAGACGACGAGGTCAACCTGCCGGAGTGTGAAATATTCAGGTAGAGTTGATCAAAACAGTTCAAAATCTTATAAGGGTGAAAATATACAGATCTTTTGGCAGGAATTTTGTGTGAGGATTTTTTTACGTCTGCCAATCCCTACCAACATTAAAGAAAATGGTTCATTATAGTGTACTAAGTATTTTTTTAGGCTGATTCCAATGAGATACTGGATGGGCTTTACTGTATAGAGCTATTATTTGTGCTTAAACTTATTTTATCTTTTGAATTCCTTAAACAAAAATACCGGTACTGAGATGTATTGGATTTTACTTAGTACAGTAGTAGTCTTATCTGATGTCTATTATTGCTGTGCTGTAGTAGCTCTAGCAGACAATAGCCATCTCGATTTTGGAGGTAAAAGTATAATGATTTTTTACTCATTAACCTAATTTTATGGTTTGGTTTTTAGACCTGTATGACAATTTTTTAACATAACTGGAAATTTGCAGATTCGCTGCAATGAGGATAGTTAAATCTTTCATGTGATTATGTGGTTGTGTGTATGCTCTACATTTAAATACTTGGACTTAATTGTGCAAGTTCATTCACAGTTGTCATTTACAGTTACAATCCGGATTTGACGTCAGATCCGTTCAGTGAAGACGGATGCATCTGGTCGTTCAACTATTTCTTCTACAACAAGAAGTTGAAGCGTGTCGTCTTCTTCACATGTCGGGCCGTCAAGTAAGTCTTTAAACATAATTTGTCTTTTGTTTGACAACGTTTATTTAAGAGGATAACTTAGCTTTTAATTTATCTTACAATATTAATGTAAGTTTACGGTATTTTACTTTCTCCTCTTTATGAAATATAAAATGGATCACAGAGTGATACTCATCATTCAGTCTCGTGTCTTGGTGCGCACCACAACCAAGATGTGAGGGGTAACATAATAAGTTGGGTTAGGTTAGTTAGATAGGTTAGGTTAGAACAACGAGAAAGTACAGTCAAACTCAGGTGCATATTCCCCGAGTAAAGTCAGGAGTAACAAAGGGGTTGTCTTGATGGCGAGGATAGAATAATTGGGACTCTTCTGTATTCTGTTCCTATGGCCACTAAAAAAAATGAATTATGAGCGAAGTCATAGCAATCTGGTTCTAGTGTTTCTAACATTTTGTATGTTTGCAGTCCGATTTATGCTCTGGACTCGGGCATTGGGAGTGACTTTGCGATGGATGAAGATGAAGAAGATGCCTACCAGTAAAACGTTGAGATGTTTTCGTAGCTTTGAGATGTATTTGGATTCATCTTTTAATAATTAGTACATTAAATTACTTATACCTATCATTTTCATGGTTTCGGTTTTTAAACATTTTGCCCAGTAGTTATCGTACTTTGAGGAGAAAGCTTCTGGTTTATTTTGTAGTTTATAATTTAGTTTTGATCTCAGACTAGGTTTTTACCTTTTTGCTATCTCAGTCTAAGGATAAATCCAGTAGACATATAGTTTTACCATACCGTAAGATGATGTTTTTATTGATGTCTGATGTATATTAGGATTTTGTTTAGCTGAGAATTACCTATTAACTTGTAATTATACTGTTGCCTCTGTCTTGGTTTGGATACATTAAATGTCAATTTGAAAAGAGGAAAGTATGCATTTCTGCTGTGAACAACATCTCTCACTTGGAAGAATATAATTTCATAAACAGCTGTATCATGTTAATGGTTTTTTCCTACAGTTACCTAACAATGTACATGTTCTCTTACTGATTTGAGAAAACAAAGTAGCCAATTCGCTTATCAGCGAGACAGTGATAAGATAAGATCTTTATTTCTATTAGGTATTCTTTTGAATACATTGGATATGTCAGGTTACAATATATAATCTGACAATTTTAACATTGTCTCACTCTAATTACTTTGTCTCACTCCAAATCAGCTGGTCAGCTGTTGTACTGTTGTAAAACGATTGAGAAAAGCCGTACGAATGTAATCTTTGCAGTAAAGTATTTACAATGTCTTGTAGCGTTTCTTTATCAATATATTTGTTTCATGGTAACTGTAGGAAAAATATAATGTGCAACTCGAGTGCAAAGTGGCCTCACTCGAGAAACCATTCCTCACTCGCCTACGGCTTGTGAGTAAGGATTTCTCTCGAGTGAGGCAATTGCTCACTTTGCTCACTAGTTGCAAAAATAACTATTCTCTTGGCTGATAAAGTTAATATTTGGCTTCTACCAAAATTATCCAGTTTTTCTTGTTTAATATTCTGTAAACTATATTCTCATCCGTTACAAAGTTTACTCTATAAACTGTATTAATGAGTATCAAAACTTTAAATTGTAAAGTTTGTTTAAGGATTAAAAATTTACAGTTTAAGTGGTAAACTCAATTGCAATTTGTATAGTTTTCACAGTTGAATGGGTACCCTGTTAAATGCTTGATAACACTTGTGAACAAAACAATACAGTTGATTTTAGCTGCATTTGTGTTTTCATATTTTATTTTTCCACATTATGTTTTCATTTTTGAAAACACTAGGTGCTTTCAGGACTTAGCAAAACAACATTCTAATGTACAAATGAGTGCTTAAAAGAAAATTAGGCCACCACTGTATTTGCTTTCGAATGGAGTTATTATTCATAAAACACAAAATATTTCAAATGAACTAAGATGTAAAATAGACCAAGAGTAAAATAAATGTCAGTCATAAACATTAAAAAAAATATTCTCGGCTTAAAGATTGGTGGTGGAGTTATATTCAATATTCATGTATCTGAGTCATTTTAGTACTACTTATTTTGGTATGGAATTGTTAATTTAATTTGTACATTCATTTATTGGTCCTCTATAAAGTAGTCCACAAGAGATTGTACAGAGGAAAGTGGTTTTTCACAACCTAACCGCTAAAGTATATTGGTATACATTGACTCTTGTTTTCTGTCTTTTCTAAAATGTACATATTATGACTTGTAAATGTAGCCTTTGATTGATAAACAATTTAGTTTTTTCTAAAACTAATCTAAAAATATTAATCATATACTTTTATGAAAAAATTTGTTTCATTAAGGTAATTTATACCTTGATTTGTTGTAAACTGATGAAAAATAGGCCCGGTAGTGTTAAAATAATATTAATCTCATTTACAGTTAGCAGTTAGTCTCATTATCTTATTAACAGTTTTTAATTTTTTTTCTATTTAGAAAACATCAGTTTTTAATATTATCACTAATTTTGGTTGACTGAAATTAATGCAGTATTTAAAGTGTTGGTCCCACCTACTAACAAACTAGGTTAAGATTTAGTTGTAAATATATGTCTAACAATATTTGCACGGTGTTGTTTCTCAATTTTTAGTTCTCGCCACTTACTACAGGTTTTAATCAAATATTTTAATAATATGAATGTAATTTTTGTTCTGAAATTAACTTTTTTTCACTGATTTCCTCAACATATTTCCAACTAAAAAATGTAAAACTCAAGTTGATTCTTGAGAAATGTAAGTAGGCAATGATCTTATAGGATAAGATGTGTTAGGCTTGAATGAGACTGCGATTTCTTCAACTGAACAAAGTTTTTGGTTAAGTAATTTACAATTGTTTGTACCTTATTGTACTTTGTAACCCGTCAGTGTTAAAATACCTTCTGTTTGAAACCATCATGAAATATTAGTTTCAATCTATGATAAGGGTAACTGTAAACCCTGAATACAGTTGTAGTATGGATGGTTTAAATTAGTAGGTCCAAACAATTTCTCAATGGCGTTGGTTCGTTTTTTATTTAACATTTGTAATAATGAGACTTCACTTCACAGTTATATGTTGTTGCAAGTATTAGTGTAGTGGTGATTATTATGTAATCAAATATGTTATGATTTCTTGAAATAAGTAAAAAAAAAAAAACACATCACACGAACTTGCGAAAGGTTCACAAAAAAATGTTTTACCATTGGAAAGTTAATTTTTACTTTGAATTTAAAAGAAGATATTAACACAATCATAAAAATGTGACAATACGTGCACGTAATACGGTTTTCAGTAAAAAGTATTTCCCACAATTTTTCATGTATAACATATAGGCACTATGAACAATATCAGTGGCATCTCACAAAACCACTATGAAATAGATTTTGACTACCAAAAAACTATGCACTGATCTGAATGTACATTGAAAATTATCCGTCTTATCGTAGTGTGTACACAATGTTTAAATATGTAATATTACCATACACCGACTTCTGATACTTTATGTACATAAAGAAAGTTATTTATCAGAGTTGTATAGTTCAGAGAGAGATAGATGGATTACTTTATTTGTAACCTTGTGTAATCCTTCTGCATATGTTATCTGTGCAGTTTTAACATTTTTAGATTACGTATTAGAATAAATCTTAGAAAAGAATTGTTGTCTTAATCGCACCCTTCCTGGTTGGTTTTTATCCTCTGTTGTTTGATTTGTATCAGGGTCTATTATGATTTATTTGGTGCCTCAGCTTCATACTCATAGCCCATCTATATTGAGTTGCTCAATGAATCTTGTCTATGAGCTCCTCCTGAGACAAGTAGTGTCCTGTCCCTTGTCATGGTTCCAATAGTGCTTTCCCTGACCTCATTCAGAGTTATGGACATCCATCAATGAGTAATAAACATATGTAAAGCCCATGTGACAATAGCAAACTTAGGCATAGCTGTGAAAAATTATTTCATTGGTTTACAGCCCTGCACAATTGCTAACATTTTCATTTGCTTACTCCCTTACCTCTTAGCTCTTAGGGCTTCGCTTAAAATGTTCCACACACAGGCCCAAAGCTCATGTGATCAGGCTAATGCAACTCGAAGAGAGGTGGCCAATCTCTTTTATTTAAAATAACAATAATAAAAACTATATTATTAAGCATGGTGTTTTGTTTTCAATACAAAAATGATACGTCAATATAGTTTTGAATAACTCCATTTTTCAATTTTTTACCAATAACAGTTTAGTTACAGGGGTATAAATGATATCATTTACACATTACATAATTCAAAAGAAATATACCTGATACACGGGAAAGTTTTATTTAAGTTACTCTTTTTCATTTTTCACATGATTGCTGTGTTTAATCATAAGCAGATTAAATTCTGTGTTGTTGGGTAAGGATTGTACACCGAGAATGTTAAATCTAGATGGTTTTGCCAATCTTTTTCTGTGCTTAGTTTGATTAACGTAAATTCAAAAAATGGTGAATTCCAATTTAAATGTAAGCTGAGAGCCTCTCTAGGCTATTCTACGGCTACATGAAGATAAAAGATCATATCCATTTCCAAAGCAGCAAACAAAATGGTCCACTCCACTGCTCACATGAATTGTGCCTTCAATGTACTACATTTTAGTTTTGTTTAAGGAAAGGCTCTAGGCCAGTATTTTAAATTGAAGAAAAAGGAGGATAGCAGCTAACTTACCTTGAAAGTGTGGGTAGGCCATAGAACAAGTAGAAAAACACTGTGTACACAATATTTCGTTCCCCAAGGGACTTTGTCAAGTGTAGAGAAAGAGTTTAAATTACAAAATGCGTAATTTTGTAATTTATAAACTCTTTCTCTACACTTGACAAAGTCCCTTAGGGGACGAAATATTGTGTACACAGTGTTTTTCTACTTGTTCTATGGCCTACCCACACTTTCAAGGTAAGCTAGCTGCTATCCTCCTTTTTTGTACTACATTTTAGTACGTTTTACTATGACTACAAGTAGACAAATAATAAAGGCACTTATAAACTAAAAAATAACTTTTATTTTGTTAGAAACAGGTTTGCATCAATTTGACATTTAACAGCAGGTAAACTATAAATAAATAAATAAATATTACAACATTTTACATCTTATTAGATGTATAAATACTTTATTATTTTAGGTGTAAATAGTGTGCAGTATTCACTTTAAGTGTTTAATTAAATTTTAAGTTACAGTGTCTAGTGGAGGGAATAAACATAAATAAAAGAACATAACTAACTAACATATTCACTTAAATTAACTATTGGAGAAACACCTCCATATTTTCATTCTGTTACTTACAAGCGCTAATAGAGACAAATTTTATATGGTCAATGGAACCTCGATAATAAGTCAGCCTCAATAACGAGTGTCATTTTCAAATACTTTTGATTTTTCTACCTAAAATCACATGTTTTTACAAACTTCGATAGGGTGTCAACCTTGAAAGCAAGTCTTACTAAACAATCCCCATGAGAGACTTAATCGAGGTTCTACTGTAGTTGTTAAAGCTGTCCCTTATAACATTATTAGCAGGTACTGTTTTGTAAGAATGTTACAAATTTTTCATAGAAAGTTTTGTTTGACAAAAATAGTATTTTAGTCTTTAAGTGGAAATAACAAAGGGTTGGGGTTTTCAATATTGATGTTCTAGCTTAGGTTAAAATTTATAGTTCAATAGCCTTGTTTCACAAAGCCTCATCTAACTTTGTCAATCTGTCTTTTAACATAGTTGACTACATCGATAAAAGTCTAGTTGAGTCTAGAAGATAAGGTTAACATTGTCATAAAAAAAAAATTACACAACTAAATTAAATTAACAGCTTCATTTGTCAACCAAATTCATATTGACTATAGGTAAATAAACAACAAAATGAAAAGTACCTGCATTGTGGTACAAATTGCGTTTTTCAAACTCTTTCAGTTAATGGATTGGTGTATTTAATAAGAAAATAATATTAACATAACAATAATAATATATCATATGTTTAATAATATAAATTAGGTGTTATATAAAAAAAAAACCTTTTTTCTGTTTCATTCTACACTTAAGTTTACGCCCTCCTAAAGCTTAGTCAGGAATGATACTAGTCAAGAAGTAAGAAACATACCAACCGTCTCACGGACAAAATACAGGCTATCACAATTCCCCTTCTCTACATATTTACAAATAAATAATTCACAGCCAATATTAACTATTAGTTTGTTAGCCAGTAAATGCAGTCACAAGTTTTATCTGTACATGGACACCTCGGAGCTCTGATACATGCACATGTAGGCGTCGCACAGCAACCGTTTAGCGTGTTCCGGCAACATCTTCTCGTCTTTCACCTTGTTCAGAGTTGCCGCTCCCTTTTCCGAAAGCCAGAACGGCAAATTAGGACAAGGAACCACTTCAGGAATGTTGTAACCGTTTTGTTCTCCTGGAACAAATTTGTTCAGTTTGAATTTAATACTCTAATTTTTTGTCTAAGTTTGTTGATTAGATTATTAGTTGTACATATTCAGATTGGAGGAAGTTATCCGTCTCTCTAACACACTATCCTAAATACACGCCATCCTAATTAACATTAACATTATCCATACTATGATGCACATTAAGTATTCTAATGTAGATAATAATTTTGAAGTAGACTATTGTTGCCAAGTACAGTGCGGTCCCATAAATGTAGGTGTGTGTAATGTATATGCACCTTTTCTCATTACAAGGGCTCCTACCCTTGGCTCCACCCAGAAAGGGTGAACTATCAGTTTAATGTGTACTTTTTATGTGTTCTATTGACCTCCTGGGACTATTCAGGTGAGTTAGTTGTGTATCCTTCCTTTCTCCTTAACAACAAAAGTTCTAAAGCCAAGTTGTTTTTTTTTCCTAAAAAAATACTAAGTAATTTAGTGATACATTATGGTCCATACAGATGGGAATCCTACTGCAGTATTTATGGTCAATAGTACAACTCATTTCAAAACCTCCCTTTTCCAATTTAATATCATCCCTCACCTTAAACAAATACTGTAAACAATTTCTAACCTTTTCTATCGGCCATGGAGTCAAAGAAGCACCACGGTGCCTCAGAGCCAGTGCCACATTTGACAAATGCGACGTAGTGCGATGTTTCGATGCAAACGACGGCAAACAGCTCCATGTACAGCCTTGGGATCACACAGTGGTCCTTCAACACTGAGAACTCTTGAGGAACTTCCAGTCTGCGCCACGTGTGTCTACTGCGCTTCTGGTGGGAGTGAGCCTGCCGCAACCAAACACCATGTCAATACTATTTGTTTTGTCTTATTTGTTTCAACCTATTTACATTGGAAGAACCTCTTAGTGAAAATACATTAACATACACTATACACACATACTATGACTGTGTATCAGCAATAAGCTTGTTGAAAAGGTATAGAGTTCAGTTAGTTAACGAAAATAGAAGCAAAGGGCTAATAAGGCAATAAAAAATCTTTCAAACCTTTACACTGATATTTTGTCATGAAAAACTTGTTTAAAGAATATATTGTGGATTTAACTCAGTGCAAGTGGTTTTTAAGTGCAATTTTTATTCTGCACGATGGAATACTCACAGTGTCGAGACACTGAGTGCAGAACGCAATGCTTTGCAGCCCTTCCTCGCAGAGCCCCTGGTCAAAACATTCTTTGCACTCAAACTCTGCCAGTTTGCCACAGACTGTACACTGTCGTGGGGCTGCAACATGTAAACAGGAAATCTTATAGCAAACCCATTGAAAACTAAATAATTTTTAATTTCATTATTAACTTCTTTTTAAGTTATGTCCTTTTATGTATTGATAAAGAGCAATCATACATGTATTTCAAAACAATATGTGCATTTTTAACCAAAATAAAAGACAAATCTGTGTCCTCTTCTACACTACGATAATGTAAAAATTTAACAAAACAAGGTGGTGTGCAATCTTTATTTAACTGACTAAAGCCCTAACCTTTCCACCACAGCTAAGACACATTAGTAAACTTAATTATTAAGTTTACTAATGTGTCTAATTGAATTTGCACATGTATGGAATTTTAACGCGCGAACTTTCGAGGCTAAAATAAAATATAATATTCTCTCAGAGAATTAATATGGATTTAGACCGGGGAAGTTCACGATAGACGCTGTAAATAAATTTATTGAAGATGTCCTTGAAGGGCTTGAGCATCGAAAAAAGATACATGGCATCTTCAACTTTGACCCCCGAACCCAACGGTCTAAATCAAGTAACTTGTTACCATATAATACCGGGACTATATTGAACAGTTTGGCGTCAAAAGCTTTCACTGCTGAGGTTAGGCTGTTTTTGGGCTAATTGCACTGTACTTATGGTCAAGGTTGTGTAGTGAAGCGAGAACGTAATTATTATGCTTGTTGATAGATGAATTTAACTTTCTTCAAACGACCAAAACCGGCCAAATATTGGAGTGCATTGGTAAAAGCTAAAGAGAATTTCAGGAGCTATCTGATAAAAAGAAACAATGTAACAAATTAATTAGTTAGCTTACAGAATGGTGAAAATACAATTTATCACACATGCCAAAAGGGTTTTCTCAATCCACTCTTATTTTCCAAATTCGTCTTAGCCTTTTTTGTTGTTTTGAACTTGTACCAAAAACAGTTAGTTTAAGCATTGCTGATGAAATTATAATTACTACGCTACAATAGAATCAAAGTACTCACAATCCTCGATAACGTCCGTCACATCCAACAACTGTGACGGAAGGATTCTGGGGTACATCTTGAATGATTTACCAAACCTCGGCATCTGGATGATCAAGCAAGAGGGTACCTGAAACGGCAAAATAGATTGAACAGCTGTTGAAGATTAATTAAAAATAACAGCAGGTTAACCGACTGGTTCATATTAAAAATTCATAAAATCTGAAGATCTCCAGTTTAGTTTAATACCTCATACTGCCTAGAGCCCTTTACAAAGAACACGTCTTGTGTGTTTAATTAGCAGTGGATCAAATGAGTCTGTGTGTGTCCAATCAGAAAAGAACCAAATTAACATCTACTGTACTTGGCTTAAAATATCCCTCATCATTTGGCATTTCCAATAATTATCTAACTGGATTTGTTTCATGGGTTGAAACGCTTTAGTAAACAGGTTCTTTGTCTAGCAAAAAAATTAATAAAAAAATAGAGCATTGTCTTCCAAATGTGTGGTTCATATATTTTTTGAAACCCAGGTGTCTAATATCAACAGTACAAGAGTATTCAACAATACCTCTTTTAACTTAATATCAGATGCGAGGAAGCTTTGTTCAAACAGCTGTTGGACAGTGGGTAGAGTCAGTTGTTCATCTTTCTCTACAAACAGCTGATAGTGGTAGGCCTCTTGACCGGAGCTTAGCTTCAGGAAAGGCTCGGCTTTGAGTATCTGAGCAACTAGAGAAGTCAAGAACTCTTCCGGATCTGTTAAAAGGATTTAGACTTGTAGATGAACTGTTACTATTCATAACAGTAAATAACGTTTGTTATGATAAGGTCTTTGCATTTGTTTAAATCTAATGAGGTCTGTTATAGGAAAAACAAAAGTGATGAGAAGCAAAGAAATTAAGGATAATTCTGGAAGTGTAAGCACAGAACATTGGAAGACAACATCTGACTGTAATTGTTAAGGTTATAGTTTTTAATAGTCCAACAATTTTATATGTCACAAACACACATACTTATAACAATTAGTCTATTAAATTTTCTGGGTTGCATAAAAAATGTTATACAGTATTATAAATTCTTAGTACATAATTATTATGTAGGCTTACATTTAAAAAAAAAAAAGGATTTGGTGGACATTTCCTCAAAAACTGCCCACTTAGGCTACTAGTACAGTAATGTAAGTTAGTTTAACCTAATAACGTAGATTATTATTGCAAAAAAAAATAATAACTGACACATAAGAATGTAAAGCAAAGTAAAATTCACAACTAATTCAGGGAAAAACTCTTTGTAACTAATATAAACAAGTTTTTATAGTTCTTGTTCTGTAACTGAAATGCAGTTTTTTTTCCATAAAAAAATCCCATACCGAACTCTAAATACAATCCCGCCCATCTCTACATTGTTTTCTGAACTTTATCGAAATCAATATCTGTGTCGTTAAATTCTTCATCACATTCTGTTGGCCTATCACCCAATTCCATGGCGGACAATTCCCTATTGCCTAGCTAATTTTCGAACTGATTAACTTTTTTTCATGGTTTCAGTTAACTGGGGTTCTTGGGGATAATAGAAACACAAAAAAATTACACAAAACATGACACTGATACTTTCTCTTGATGTGGGACATCTCAGGAGATGTCAACATCCAGGGCGTTCAACCCCAGGGGGTCGAAGAGAAATTAATCCTTAAAATGTTAAATTCTGGCAAATCCCACCTTTCTCCTCGCACGTGAGGCCAGTGACGGAGCTCAGTTTCTCCATGAGTGTCCGCAGTTTCATCACACGGTCCGCTCTCACAAACAGATTCTCCCTTAGAGGGTTGACTATCTCCTCTCGCAGCACAGTCTGCACCTCCTCGTACCTGTCAATGTCCTTGCTGGCGGACGGTCTGAACAACAGGCTGTCAAACACACTGCAACAGGGAGCAGACACTTCAGATGTAAGATTACTAGAGGTGCAAGTAGGGTAGCAGATACAATATAGGGTTTTAGTGAGTGTATGTTTCAGTGCGAAAACAAAAAGTGAGATTAGACTCCTTTGCAATAACCGCTGTAAAAGGAGGTGGGTTTAGGGGAGGGATGTAATGGTTCAAAATTGGACCCAGCTACCTTAACTATAGGGATTTTAATGATCCTAAAAAAAATACAGCTAAATTTAGTCAGTTACAAAGCTGTTATCACATTTACGCAACACTCATCTTCAACTAAAAATACACTACTTGGTGTGTCGATGCCGTTTAATCTAATCTAATCAAATGCTGGCTTCTGATTGGCTGGAGATCAAGTGGCGAGCTAACTATAATGGAAGTAGGCAATCAGAAAGATATTAATGTGGGTGGGACGGTTGATGAAAGAACAAATAACCAAAAAACATTGACCCAAAGACAAGTTGTCATCTTTTGATAGGTTACTCTATTACTGTATCAACAGCTTTTGGTTGAAATACTCCTGAGTTTTAAACTTTAAAAATTATTCTTATGATTGGAAAATAGTTAGGCCTATAAATGAAGAAGGGGACGAGATTTTTATTGAGGTAGCAGGCTTACTTAAAGGAAAGAATCCATTCAGGCAAAATAAACACAAAAACACTCCGATCCTCTCTTAGTTGGCCAAGGAACAGGCCCATTAAGGCCTGCATCAGAAGTCTCCTAACTAGACTGATCTACCTTGTAAAGGCAAACATGCTGAATAGTGTGGCGTCCAGGTAGCAGGAGTTATGGTGACCCTGGATCCCTCGGAACTTGCCACACAGAGACTCCACATCCCCTGAACTGCGACTGATCGGAGGCACGGCCCCCGGCACTGGCGGACAGTCCACACCTCCAAACTCTGTACATCAGTTGATAACTTCAACTTTGGTTATAAAATAGGTCACTTGAGTATTAAATGGATGTTAAAGTAAACTTACTGCATAATAAGTACTTTTGATGTTTCCCTATTTCAGTCATTGACATCAAATAAAAGATCCGTCCAACATGATTGAGAATATCCGAGATATTATAACAACAGTATTCATTAAAAACAAAACAAAAATTTAAAATAGTTTTTAAAAAACTAATTTTGTTTAAATTTATTTTTAAGACTAGATAAATTAAATAATAATTGAAGTGCGTAGGTAAATTTTACCCTTGTAATCAAATACTTAACCAAATCTATCATCTTATAAATATAACATAACAAATGCAAATACAAAAATAAAATATATTCCTTTAATTAATGGTTATTTAGAATTAGAAGAATATTCATAAGTAAGGGGTTTAGTTCAACACTTTTTACAGAGGGATAGCACATCTTCATCTGAGTAAATCCTGTAAGTGCTTGAAAACAGTAGTCTCATCAATTCAACAGTTTTTTATTACCTAAGAGTTCTGGTAGTTTATCAAGGGCACAATCACTTTCTTGAGGCTAATCAGTAAAATTTGAGAATAAATTAAGATACCTTTGGTCTTCAAGTCCACATGGTTATGTTGCGCGTCGAGGAACCGAGAGTCTTTCCGACACTGGTTAATGCCGACAAACAACGCTCTTTGAGGGTTGCAGGTGAAATACCTTCGGTTGTGAAATGTTCCGTCGGTGAAACCAGCATGTTCTTCTTCCTATGACATACAATGATTAACTAAGATCATGCAGTATAAAAACCAGGTAAAATATTATCTTCGGTTTAAAAACTAATGATTACCTACATATAATATTTACTAAACAACTTATACATAGCACAGTGACATGTTTGTTCTGATTAAATTGATTATAAACTTATTACATTGCACTAATAACTTAGACAGTATACACCTTTCATTAGAATACATTAAAAAGTAAGTTTTAATGTTTTAAGATATGGTATATGATATCATTGCGTTGTTGGGTCCCCCTTTAAATACTTAAACTATGGAAAAACAAAACAGATAAACATCAACCAATGAGCTTCATGTTGCCCAAAATAACCAGCAATTAATTTGTTGTTTGGTCTAAAAATTGACATTGCATTATTAAAAAAAAAAAAAATCAACTAGTGACTCAAGGTAACCTAATTTTAGTTAACCATTTACTACATAATTTAAGTTCTACTCCACTACACATCATATACATTCTTATATTCCATTGTTGTTCAAGTTGAGCCACATTTTCTCAAAAATGTCACGCATTATAACAGAAGTAGTAAAATTTAAGCATGTAAAATATTTAGACTTTACCTGAAAGTAATTAAAGATTGTGTAATACTAACCTTACAATTAAAAAATCTTTTATATCGTATCACCATTTTAAAAACTAATCATGGATTGATTATTCAATTGTACCACGACCTCAATAAATCTTCTCACGTAAATATTTTACATTAACTAACACCTTATTAAAACAATTATAGCTGTAAACAATCATTCGATGCACAAGCAGTGAGGCAAAACAACTGACAAGACAACATTACGCAAGAACTATTAACTGTCAGTTCATTACCATCACCAAACGTTTCAGACACAATACATCGGGAGTCGCCATTATTATGCTTATTGTTTTCCTTGTGAAATCTATTTGTGAAAGCGTGCTCGATGCTTAGGTTAAATTGTTTGTTGGTATTTTATGGTATAACCGTGTAGGTATAAAATATCAGTTTTCTGGTCATTTATGATATTTGTCTCTAGATTTAAAAGAATAAATTGCAAATGATCCATAATATTTATACAACTTTTAATAGATAAAAAATAAAACTTAAAAACGTTGACTTATAGGGCTATTAATAGTTTTCTATGCTATCTAACAAAAGGTGTATGTATTTAGTTAAAAGATTGTGATTTTTGACCATACAAAAATACATAAAAAATGCCAAATAAAACAAATATTTATCACCATTATAATTACAAAAAAAATTATCATAAATTGTGAGAAATAGCATAAAAACGTGAGGAGAAAACAACATATAATTTTAATGTTAAGAATATTTCCAACACTGGACAAAATAAAAAAGTGGATCACCTCAGATCGTGATTTTATTGCAAAACACTTTGAAACGACAGACTTGAACGACATCCAAATGAGGTTCTTAGTGGAGAGTTGGACTGATTGTAAAGAGCTCATAGTCAGTGAGAGATAGGCCTATCAGTGAGATACCAGGTACAGTCATCAAGGTCACGAGACAATTAAACAGCTGGCAAACACCTCCTAGTCTTGCTTCAATTACTTCAGTTTTACTGTACTGTACTCGATGGACCTAGCAAACTTGTAACCCCACCAAACATATTAATGGATTGAATACAAATTTATTGCAATAAAACACAGGCCTGTATAAAACTAAAACAACCTAAATAATGTGTATATTCTGGCTTGTAAACCAAATAATTACACCTTAAATTGCTCTATTGTGGATTTTATGTTAGTAGTCATACATCTGTTACTAGATATTTTAGTTAGCAAACCAAACAATCATCTCTGCATTTATTGTGGATCTAGAATGCTAATACTATCCCAAATACTTTAGTTTCACATGACGAATTTAATCACCCTGAGTATGAATGCTAGATTTAGTAAAGATTTATTTTCGTACAGTGATGATATTGATTTAATAAAATACACGAATACTATACCAATCCAAACCATTTGTATATAATATCAGCTAGCGAACCAAAAATTTTAACTCTTCTTGCCTAGTTTATTGTGAATCTATAATTATAGTTTGTCTCAAATACTTCAGTTTAGCACGATGGATTAAGCAAATGTTTATTAATCATCTTGAATTGTGAAATACGAACACTGTTATGTTTATTACAAATCCATTTTGATACAATGTTGATACATTTTGCAATAAAATAGGCAAAAATACAGTACAACAAACTGATGTAAAAATATTTTTGGACGTAAACAATTTTTAAATTAAAATAATTATTAGCAAAAATTCACATATTAACCATCACAGCATGTAGCAAAAAGTTTATAAAATAATAGAATTTTTTTAAATTCTGTATTTGTTAGGAGTTAGGAGATACAGAATGAACTGAACCGATACAAATCCACAACAGTGTTGGGTTTTGGCGAATTTCCCTATAGGGAAGTAGCTATTACCGTAGGTGGCACAGTAAGACCTAAGCCCGGGACCGATTTCCTTTTTCATTTTGATGTCCCCAGAGGCCAAAAACAGAAATCAGCTCGTAGGGTCAGTCAGGTTTTGACTTATTCCCCATTTTGAGTAGTCGTATATCTATGAGTCTGGTGTATTGGTTTAACTCACCATCTCTATGCCAGCCACCCTGCGACCTGGCTTGTCCCCAGGGATGTTCCCTATCCACCGGATCACTCCATAGTGAGGCTCATCATTGACCTTGACCTCCACCACAGATCCTACGCCAAGGTCACCATGGTCTGGTGAGTCATAGTAACTCCCACCCTCACTGCCAGACAGCAGCACATCTGCAAACAAGCACAACAACACAGTGTGAAACACAGAATTACTCAAATGTTACTTATGGAGTCTTCAGTTAAATAACCACAAGAAGAATTTTTTTGGAATTATTTAAAACATACTTTTGAACTTACCTATCCATACTAATCCTAACCTAATTTGATAGTTGGACACAGGCTGTGATGACAAGATATGTCAGCAGCGGCCGATGACGGGTTCGCCGAGGTAAAAACTAGAGCCTTATTGTTTTCGTGCTAGCAAAAAAAATATATTTTTACCATCCCATTAAAATTACATTATTGTCTAACATATAAAGTGAAAAACAGTTTAATGTTAACTATTTTATAGCCTACAGTAGGCCTAAGTAGCCAACGAATGTACAGTACATTAGATATGCAAGTTCATAAGTTTGTTTATTTTTGTCAAGTTTTTCTACTATTAATTAAATTGTTATGCTCTGTATTATGTTTAAGATAATTCTTGTGAGTAAATGTCCAATATACTCCCTATAGTCGGACACCCCTTTTATCCACAAAGTGTCAAACTATCAAGGTTTTATTGTATAACCAAGAAGGTTATGCTATATTTCACTGTCACTTTAATATGTGTGAAGAGATTTTCTTTTCTCTTCTTTTCCCCGCTAAACTGTTTATTGTACCTATTTTAAATTTTTTTTTACAACTAAGATAACTTTGATTAGGATTAGTAATTGACGTAGCACAATGTCAACAACATTGATCCCTTGTAATTATCGTCCCCATGTAACCTCTGATAAAAAAACACTAAATTTTCACGTTTTAAATACATTTAATATCCAAATGTAAACATTAAACATAAATATAAAATCTCAAGGACATTGTGAAGGAATTGTGCCCATTGTGAAGGGGCTCTTTTTTATGATTATTTGAGGAAAAACACTATTTTTAAATTCTATCGAAAAACACAACACCATTACAATCAGTAAAAAAAGGGGGGTTCACCTAAAAAAATAATACACCTAGCTTTTAATTTTGGTTCTTAACTAATAAATTTTTAGATGGGATTTGTAATATCATAGTGTTTAGCCAAAACGTCACAACACAAATATTACACTTAGCTACACATACAATGAGATGTTCATACAGTTCAAATCTACTTTTACACATTTGTACAAAGTATTTCTTACAATAAACTCAGAGACTGGTGTCTAAAACTATAGAAAAATGGATGATTTTAGCAGACTAAATAAACTTCAATTACACAAGGTAAAAATCACAAAATGTTGAAGGGGTTTACAATTTAAATAATCACACCATGTTTACAGAATACCTAGAAACCTGGAAGAAAGAGTCGATATGCTAGACCAGGAAAGAGTTGAAAATCTGTTGGGTGAGCATCCAGCTTTTGGAGTTTCATCCGGCTCACCTAAATGTCAATTTAAAAGTTAAAAGATTTCTCAACATTGGGTTTTGTTTCATAATTTATTTCAAACAATAAAAAAACTCAGTAATCAAATAAAATGGGGGGATATATGTATATGGAAGGTAATGTATAAATTATACCCAATAATTATCACTATTCATTGAATTGCACTAGAAAGGCAGACACTCTTGTTACAACCAAAATTGAAAAAAAATTATTAAACAGTGACCACTAATAACATATTCATTACTATGTCAGATTATCATTCAACAAATGTGACCTATTAAATGTCAGATAGTAGAACTGTGGTGAAAGTAAAATTAAGCCCTCTCTTTTACTTATTTTGCAAAAAAACAATAGAGTAGCCTCCTTTTTAGCCAGCTTTATTGCTTTAAATGTTCGTTTTTGTACATCCTTTTTAACCAACCACTTTTAAACAAAATCGGATTAACCAGTTGTAAATGGATGTATCTCTAAACCAAACTCTATGGCTCACACGCACCCATTGCTACTGATATGCTTTTGCTTTTACTTTTTTTTACTTTTACTTTTTTTATATGTCCAGTATTGAGTTATTTTGCGGTCATTCTAGATTTTTGAGCTTAAGTAGTGTTAAAGGTTGAGTTTTTATAAATTTGGATGAAATGTTTAAATGTCTAGGACCCTGCTGCACACCACACAAATTGGAAATACATTTTGTAGCTTCCCATGATTTTACAGTCGATCCAGGTCTTAAGTCCTGGGTGTATAAGTCCTGTGTGGATAAGTCCTAGGTGGCTGGATAAGAGGAAAGGTATTCATGAAAACAAAACTTAATATTCTTGTTTTTAGTGATCAAAAACTACCAAAGTGTAAAAAAAAGATCAGAAAAGGGGCACTTCAAAACAGTTTAAGAGTATGGCATGAATGAAATACTTAGAAGGGGTGGACATAAATAAATGAAAGGAGAGCTATTAAAAAAAAAAAAAATGTTGATGATGGCAGAGTTCAGACCAAGAAAAATGTGGACAGGTGAGGTAAAGAGGAATGTGTAGAGATGAGCAGTGACATGGCGTATAATGGAGGAAGAGGAATTTTGCAGGGATAGGAAAGGAAAAAATACCAAGTCGACAACCATACCCAGGAATAGCCGGAATGGAAGAAAATATAATAACCATATATGTACAATGGATTATAGTCATGATATAACTCAAATAATTATGAAAAGTCTATTACATGTTATCACATCTAAATTTTCTTTACAGATACAAACATACCATAGTAAGGTTCAGGTTGTAATTCCAGTTGTTTTTTACGAGCGGCTCTCAAATTCTCTTCATGTTCCAACACAAACACTGGTATATCCATCATCATGGTTGCCAACCGCACAATAATTACAGTCTAGTCAACCTCACAAATTAAAATACCCGGTTCACAGATCCACCATTGTTCTGCTGAGACTTATATAAATCTTGACTGAATAGCCTATATAATAGGCCTAGCTGTAGGAACAATTTATTCAACTATTGTCCCTGTTGCTCAAATATAATATTTTCAAAACTTAAAATTCTTTAACAAATTTTCCTACTGAAAAGTAGCTATTATCGTAGTTTTTAAAATCATAAGACAGATTAAGACTACCCAAGATTTATCATACTTTTGCACTAGTTTTAACAATACATTTGTAAGCTATTGTCCACATATATTTTGACAAATATTTTAAGCGAAAATTGTAAAATCCCCTCTAAAACAAGAAATTAATTGTTAAGCCTACGAGTTCAACATAAAACACACATTACAAATGTGTAAGATTTAGTACATGAAGTATACTTTTCCAATTTTAAGTCATCATAAGACAGAGATAAGGGATGTATACTTTAGAGTCCCTGAAAACCTTGTTGCTTAAATTTGATTAATACTTCTACTCAAATTAAAATGTTTTTAGCATGAACTCTTAAAATCACATAATTTTTAAAACAGCTGAAAATTTCACAAATTGAAGTGAATTTATGACTTTAAGCCAAGCGTTACTACCTGCTACTAAGAAGCCATGCAGGTTGTAAGGAAAGAAATACCTGTGTAAAATTGATTTTGGCAGGTACAAAGCTGACCATTTATCAGCACTCTTGTAATGGCAAGCCTCCAGACTACCTTTAGCACGGTCGATAAAACTAAGAACGACAATTACTTTATTGATCCAAAGGTCAGTAACCTCTGTATTGAGTTTAAAATAGTTGTGCGGTTAAGTTACTTTTCCAAAGGTAAAATAAAATTTAAGTTTAAATGTTACCAATTTATTATTTTTTGTTAAATGTGGACTGTATTAATGAAAAATGTTTGTGTGTCATTTAAAATTTGAACAAAAGACAAAGAAATGTCATTTCAACTTCAACATATTTTAATTCCAATTAAATAACTAAATAAGATAGTGAAATAAATAGTTTTAATATTGCTATGAGACTAGTACTGGTGTGCAAATGACAAGAATAATTAATTGGAAATAATCTTCTTCCTATCCAGCCCAATCTTATTTAGCAAATTGAATATATCAGATAACGCCTATAAAATGTGTACAATACTATTGTTTACTTTTTTACAAAATTATTGATTTACATAACAACATACAAAATACAAAGTATATCTTATTGAAAATATTTTATTGCTGTTGACTATATACTTTCATAAAATGTAGTAAAGTTATTTGTTTCATTGCTAGACTTTAAAATGTAATTGAAACAATAATTTCGCATCCTTGTATCAAACCACATTAGGCGACTCATCAAGCTCATGTGATTTATAATGAGAGCGAATCTATGAGTTAATTTCTTTCACTAACAGCCTATTTTGAAACTAACCAATAAGGCGACAAAAAGTCAGCAAATTGCAACTAGGGTAACTAATATGTAAACCAATAAAAAAAACAACTAACGTAACGTGAACCTTACAGTAACAAAATGGAAACAGAAATAAACACTAAAAAGCACCAAGTCAACACAGACATAAAACACACTTAAACCAGGAAGAAATCCCCAAAAAATGATATAAATGAGTCAAGACGCACAAACGTAAGCTGTTTACACGAGAAACGCCGGAAGCTCACTGCCAGAACGGCCAGCAAAGCTACTATTCTGGGATATCCTCAAATAGCGCTGCTATGTCTACCAGCGTGGCCACTGGCTATTCATCATCGGTAACATTCTTCCACTTCCCTAATGTTTGTCCCAAAATTCATGGGCTTTCACTTTTACACTTTAATTTGTCAATTAAATGACAAAATATATTTTTTAACCACTGTTAAATTTTTTAACCACTAGCTATTCTTCATTGGCAACATTTTCCCCTCTTCTCTAAATATAGTCATAAACACATTTGAGACTTTCACTTTTACATTTGAACTTCAAATGTCAAAATACTTTTTTTAACCCCTGGTTTAATTTTTAGAAACTGGCTTATCGTAATCACTAACATTAATCTTTTCTCTAAATACTGTCTTTAAAATGTGAAGGCTTTTCCATTTAAATTTACTGATAAAATGGTAAAATATATGTTTGATCAAATTATTAATAGGGTTAAAATTGCTGTAGTCAGGTGATCATTATTTAATTATTCATTTTCATAAATTACAAAC